GAGAACGATTACAATAGGGTTCCCAGCCGCTTTGCAGTACTGGGCACCGCGATGCCTTGCATTCGCAGGTTCCCAGCCCACCCTGTGTTAATGAAGAAGCCCGACTCAGAAAGTTCATTCACCACCAGTACCGGAGGAATTCCTCGAACACACGGTAATAATTCAGTAACAGCGGCGGAACACTGCAGTTCTCCATGAGTCACCGGGCTAGGATTTAATTGAACATATCCTTAGAGCAGGAGCAACATGAGAAGAAGACCCGCTGTTCTCCTAAACAAAGTGACAGATGTATGGTCCGCCGCATTGGTGTACTCTGGTATCTTAGCTCGCTCATGTTGCAGGACAGAGGAATATATTGCAAAATGTCCCAGTAGATTATAATGGAAACTAGCGGTTACAGCAACAACCGGCCATAAACCAGCATTTCTTCCGAGTGCATTCACCTGGAGCGCGTGGTGTGCTTGTTGTTTGCCATCAGCATTAATCACTCTGACCAGGTGAGCGCACACGGGCAGTACAATAGTGAGTAGCAAAAGCAGTTGTTATTATGTATATGTCGGAGGGGGATGTGATATATAGGTGCACGTACAAATACAACCATACATGTACACATGTACATAGTGTGATGATTGCAAAGAACGTTGGAATAAATAAGTATGTGTGGTGTTATCTACAGGTGAATTTGGTATATAGGCCTGTAGTCATTTAGTCCAGAGATGGAGGGTTTTTTTGGGGACCGGGATGATTGTGGAGTGTTTGAAGCAGGAGGGAACTTCACACAGCTCCAGTGAATCTGTGTGAAGATGAGGGCCAGCTGGTCAGCGCAGATTTTCAGGCAGGATGGGGAGACATCGTCGGGGCCAGGAGCCTTCTGCCTCTGGAAGAGCTGACGCACATCCCCCTCACAGATCGTGAGTGCAAGTGAGGGGTTGGAGTGGGAGTTGAGAGCATGGCAATGGAGGAAGGTGACTGTTTGATGATGATGTTGGAGTGTGGGAGAGGTGTGACTGTGTGCTTCTCAAACCTACAATAGAAAGCTATTCAGCCAGTCGTTTAGTGCCAGCAGTGTTGGGGGATGGTCTCCTGTAGTTAGTGAGTGTCCGCAGGCCTTTGCACACTCATACAGGGTCGCTGGCTGTGAAGCAGTTTCTTAGCTTTTGAGCTTAGCTTCTCTTTGCAGCTTTGATCTCCTCAGTCAGTGTGTTCCTGGCCTGGATGTACATGACTCTGTCCCCACTTCTGAAGTCCTCCTCTTTGGTATGACGAAGCCGCATGAGTTTTGCTGTGAAACAGGGTTTTTGGTTGTTGTGTGTGCGGAAGGTTTTAGTCGTCCTCACAAAACCTGACGTAAGATGCCACAGTGTCAGTTAGTTCGTCCAGGTCACTCCAGTCAGTGCAGTCAAAGCAGGCCTGTAACTCCAGCATTGACTCGTTGGTCCATCTTTTCACAGTCTTTACAACAGGTTTAGAAGATTGTAGTCGCTGCTTGTATGTCTGGAGAAGATAAACCAGACAGTGATCAGAGAGTCCCAAGGCTGCACGGGGAACAGAGCGATAGGCATCCTTTAATGTTGTGTAGCAGTGGCATTAATATGGCGTGTACAGATGTCACAGTGTTGAAGAAATCATGCAGCCCTCACATAGAGACATTATTCATAAACTGTAAACTTTTTTTTTCACCGTGGGAGTTTTCCTGGTTTGTCCTGGTCTCTGTGTACATTCCACCTCAGGCCTGTGTTAGTGAGGCGTTACTACACCTGGCTGACCAGATAACTAATGTGGAGAAAAAACATCCAGACTCCCTGCTCATTGTTCTCGGGGACTTCAACAGAGCAAATCTTAGCCATGAACTTCCAAAGTACAGACAGCATATTAAGTGTCCCACCAGGGACACTAACATACTGGACCACTGCTACACTACATTAAAGGATGCCTATTGCTCAGTTCCCCGTGCAGCCTTGGGAGTCTCTGATCACTGTCTGGTTCATCTTATCCTGACATACAGGCAGAAACTGAAATCTCCTAAACCTGTTGTAAAGACTGTGAAAAGGTGTTGTGCTGACATTTGGATGATGTCTGTAGAAGGCTGACATTATGATGATCCACAATAACACAATGACAAAGTCCCTCTACTCATTTTAGGGAAAAGCTCATTGATTAGGACATAGTAATGTTGAGCTCCACATTTTAAACCTGAACACATCTGATTGGATTAGAAATGGATTTTTATCTCCATCATTTATTCTTTATTCAGATTGGAGGCCTGCAGTTTGTCAGAGATCAGCTGTGCTTCTCTGGCCTCAGCTCTGAAGTCCAACCCCTCACATCTGAGAGAGCTGGAGCTGAGTGACAACAACCTGCAGGATTCAGGAGTGAAGCTGATGTGTGGTTTTCTGGAGAGTCGACACTGCAGACTGGAGACTCTGAGGTCACACTCCATTTTTTCATTCTGTGCTGAGATTAATATGATGTGAAAGTTGTGGTGACACTAAAGTGCAGACATAAGGCTGATATTATACTGATCCACACTGAGGATCTTAATGCTAAAGTATCTTCTTCAGTGGTTTAGTCCATTGGCTGTGGTAGAGCAATGTTGAGCTCCACATTTAAAACTTAATATAACAAGAAACATCTCCACTGGATAATTCACTCTGAACCTCTTAAACTCCTGATTTTCAGCTTCTATTCCACATCATGGTTTTAAATAAATGATACAATTGCATGAATTCAATGAATAAATAAATAATCTCTATTTCATCTATCAGACAATAACAAATATCTTCTGTATTTGCTTTTTCCAACATTGTTATGAAGCTACACGATGCTTCTACTGACTGAACAGTTTTAACTGAAGAAGGTTTGATTTACTGACTCCACTATTCCTAAAAGACATATTGTAGATTTCTTTTGTTCACATTTCTCCAAAGTTCATCCTGACATATTTGGCATCTTTGGAAACTTTTGGATCTTGAGTGGAATCTTAAATCAGTTTCGGTGGGATTTCTTTGTGTTTGGCTGCACAACATGAGTTTGTATAGATGGAGCCACTGGTGGAGTTGCAGAGTTTAAGAGGTGAAGTCACAACGTCTTTATTGAAGTAGCAGCACATTGTCATTATTATTAATGAGAGCTCTTTCTACCTTTTTGTATTTTACAGTTTGAACCTGCATCCTGTTGGGTTCAGGTGTTTGGAGTTTCCATTTTCTAAACTTCTACATTCTAAACCTTCTTCAGCTCTGAACAGATTATTAAACACTGAATGATTTCAAGCAGGAACATTGTCTCCTAACGTTACATAATTTATTCTTTATTCAGATTGAAGGACTGCTGGTTGTCAGAGATCAGCTGTGCTTCTCTGGCCTCAGCTCTGAAGTCCAACCCCTCCCATCTGAGAGAGCTAGACCTGAGTGACAACAACCTGCAGGATTCAGGAGTGAAGCTGCTGTGTGGTTTTCTGGAGAGTCCACACTGCAGACTGGAGACTCTGAGGTCAGTTCACTGACTCTCTGTTACTATTGTAGATCTGATATGTTTAATTAACAATTGAACCTAATCTCTGTTCATACATAACTTCCAACCATAAAGTTGTAAATATAATTTTGTCACAAAGACTTGAGTTTCTTACAGAAACCGTAGAAAATGTCCGCTTTTAGTCGTTAAAGTAAATTAATGTTTCCAATTTTGGGTAAATGGTCACATCTGTATACAGAAGATCCTCTGAACTAATATTTGTTTTAAACTGATCAAGTTTACTTGTTGAAGTAGAAATATTTCTTTGTTTCTGTTGGTTTCACACACCCGCAGATCAGATCAGATCATATTTCCAAATGCAACTGTTTAAAGGATCAATATAGTTTTTCTCCTCTAATTCCAGACTGGCCTGAGATCAGCAGCATGTTATTGATCTGTGTTGACATGAATAGCTGTATGAATGTTGTGCTGACATTTGGATGATGTCTGTAGAAGGCTGACATTATGATGATCCACAATAACACAATGACAAAGTCCCTCTACTCATTTTAGGGAAAAGCTCATTGATTAGGACATAGTAATGTTGAGCTCCACATTTAAAACCTGAACACATCTGATTGGATTAGAAATGGATTTTTATCTCCATCATTTATTCTTTATTCAGGTTGATGTTCTGCAGTTTGTCAGAGATCAGCTGTGCTTCTCTGGCCTCAGCTCTGAAGTCCAACCCCTCCCATCTGAGAGAGCTGGAGCTGGGTGACAACAAGCTGCAGGATTCAGGAGTGAAGCTGATGTGTGGTTTTCTGGAGAGTCGACACTGCAGACTGGAGACTCTGGGGTCAGTACTGAGTTGACCAGTTGTCAGTCTATGCTGGGTCCATTTGTTGGTCTCAGAGCTGGTACTTTTGACAGCATCCAATCAAAGCTCCAGTATTTTTAGTCATAGTGACAGCTTTACTAAGTAAGAGTTGGAGGTGTGAGAGGAGCCCTACTTCATTCAGGCTGAGCACTGACATCACATTTTCAATATTTAAAATCAGTGGCTCATCAGATTTTCTTGTCTCTGCTCTGATTCATGATGAATATTTGTTGTAAATGATAAATTCCGTTAAGTAAGTGTATCTGAAATGTATTTGTGTATATACGTCTAGCTCCCACAGTGCTGTTTCAGGTGTTTCTGTGTATATGGAGGAAAAGGAGGACAGATCAGAGTCTCCAGGCTCCAGTTGTCTGTCTCTGAACGGTGACGGGTCTACAGAAACACCTCCAGTCTCAGTCACACACAGACCTCATAGAGAAGCAGCAATAGAAAACAAGAACTTTAGCAGCTCCTGAATCATAAATTCACCTCAAAGGGGACATGATCATCCCTTTGGAGCAAATGTGGATTGTTTCATTATACTTGCGGCGATATATAATCAGGCTGATATTTGGTGTGTAAATATTAATATTTAGTGCTGCATTGTAAAGGTGTGTTCACACCGAAAGTGAATCCAGCGTTTTGGGCAGCTTGATTACATAAAACGTCAATGCAAAGACGCGGATTCCTGCAAATTCACTCCGGACGGCGCAAAAGAGGCATTTGTCGCGAAATATGCTGGTTCGCGCCAAACGACACCGACGGCTCCGGAGCGGTGTTTGGAGAGGACCAGGCAAGCGGTGTAATGACAATCCGCCTGCGAGAGCTGCTAAAGAATGGTAAAGTGTACAGGGAGCAGCGCTGCCGCTTTTGGACAAATAAACACCCATAGTCGGTCTGGATTATGCTCTGACAACTATGCCGTTTACTCATGAGACGAGCTTGGAGTTAACTGCTTTTCTAAAATTAGCTTTTTAATTTAGTTTTGGGGATTACATCTTGATTTATCTTCACTCGCACTTCTCGGCAGCTAGCTTCTGTGCACATCTGGTTCCACCTTTGTTGTTAGCGTCAGTTGACACCAGAGTTCTGCTGGACTACTACTTCATGTTTATAAAACAAACGGACAAAACTGGACATTGCTTGGAGAAAAGAAAGCGAGGACGATGAACTAACTGGGGAGTTCAGAAAATGTATGTCTGTAACTTTATTCCAGCTATCGTTGTACTTTACTGTGAACAAGTTAGCATAGTATAGCCTAGCTCGATCTAAACTCCATTTAGAAAACAATCATTTGAAATGTTTTTGTACTGCTGACTTGCTGACAGACCTGACAAAGCATGAATTCATATGTCTAACCAAACGGCATCATATTGTAGTTATTTCGGCATCAGTTTGATCTGTTTATTGCAATTAAATCACAGCAAAGGGTTTACTTTGGGTTCATATAGCTGTAGTATTCGCGGGCTGTGTTTATTCGCTTAACACTTTGTGTGTGAAATGCTCTACTGTATCTGAACTTCATTCTGCCTCCTGTGCAGAACAAGTTTCTCCAGAGAAGCCAGTCTGGAGTCCTTTCATGCTGTTTGGATGTTTAACGCAATCTGCTGCTCTTAAAAAGGATGAAAGACACTGATGTGATCGGCCATTATTGAAGCGCAGCGCTGCAGACTACTCCCATGTGAATGTACTCGTAGCTGGATTGGAAAATCCAGACTGTCTTCTTAAGAGATAACTGCTGTGTTTACTCCTACAGGCTGGATGGCAGAGAAATCAGGGCTACACCTGACAGACATGAAGGACGTGAGTACCGGTCCACTGGATTATCTTAAAGAAATGTAAACTGAAGATTTGCTGCTGTGTGCTTCATGGCTCTGGTTAATCTCAGTAACCACAGCAGGTCTTGGGCTTTGTTCTGATCTGCATGTTGGGAAAGATGATGTCTTGTTGCTGTGTTGCCTCACTGCAAAATGTCTTTAATCTCTGTCCTTGTTATTTTACATTTGATTGTATGGACTCGGGTTAACTTGGTATCTTTGGACTTTTAAACATGACTGTGCTTGTGTAACGGGTGTGCCTGGTCTGCCGTATATCTGGCTCAATGCACATCCATTACCCCCTGTGTGATCTGCGTTGTGTTCTGTGTCTGCTGAAACAAGAAATTCTCTGTAACATGAAGTCCTTTGGATGAGGGACGAAACGTCTTCCAGTATCTTCAACCAAGTCCAGTTGCCCTTGATTTTAACCTTCGTTGGAGAACTATGACCTGGATGACTGAGAAGACATAGACATCTAGATAGCAATAGGAAACATAGGGGGGGAAGACCTGCTGCTAAGGGCCCTAGTCACCCTTGAACGTTTTTGAATGAACACCCGAAAGTGAGTTTGACATCTGCTTCTCCTTCTCTCCATCCGATGGCTCTGATCACCACCAGATCCGTCCACATCAAACACAAAGCTCGACGTGTCTGAGGACGACAGAGAGGACCAGCTGTGTCGGTTGAAGCAGCAGCAGCTTCTGTGTGGAGAGGCTCTCAATACAAAGGTCAGTTTCTCAGTTGGAACATTTTTATTTGTCAGCTATCAGACTCAGGTTCCTTAGTTTTACCGTTTCCAGGGTTAAATATTTCTTACCTTCTAAATTCTCCTTTTCCACTCCTCTCTCTCTCCTCTTCCTCTTCAATCAGAAACTCCCCTAAATTAATTTCTACCTCCTCATCTATGAAACCACTAGCTGCTGTTCAACAGAGCTCTGCTGGCTTCACCTGTACAGGATCATCTCCCTGAATAATAAATATAATTTAGTCAAGACAGGTTTGAATAGAGCATTATAAGTTATAGTGAATCACATTAAGGAAAACTCACAAGAGGACAAGTAGGATAAATCTGTGTTATTGCTCTTCTGTTGTGGTAGTACCCCCTTCAGACCGTCTGACAGACAGAACCCCATTTGGGACTTTGGGATGAGATGAGACAAGGAGGCGGAAACCAAAATTAACTGAAACACTTCTCAATTCACAATCTCAACAAAAATCCAAACATGTTCACTTCAGCACCTCTCATAAAGTGCAACTCACAGTCCCAAACAAAGCAAGGCTGGCTTCAGTTTTCACATGTTTGTAGTGTCTACCAGCTATGTTACCACTCGGTCACAAACTGGCTGCGACTCCCTGTGCAAAAACAGGACTGCTGCACAGTCACACATGACACTGCAATGCTCTCACTACAATCCTCCCTCTGTAAAAAGCCTGAACAGAACCTCTTCTAGAAACATCCAGTGCTGGTTTGAACAGACCTCTGTTACAATGTAACGAGATTTCATGCAGAATGTAACGGAGTAAAAAGTTGGATATTTGGCTTTGAAATGTAGCGAAGTGAATGTAAAAGTTGCAACAACTAAAAATAAAGTAAAGTAAAGATACTGAAAAAACGATTTAAGTAAGTACTTGTACTTCGTTACTGTCCACCACTGGTCCTGTCTCACTTCAAATTTTATGCATGTATGTATTTTTCAAACAGAGGAAAGATGTTCATGAACCTGAAATCTTTAAGGCTGAAAAGCTTCAAATAGTCTCAGACTTTAAGAACCTTTGGATAATTATCGATTCACACCTAACTTTTGAAAACCAGGTGTAAAGGGTCATCAGTACAGTCAAAGTGAACCATAGTATCTTCAAATTCATCAGGAATCAATTGTCCAACCAAAGGTTGTACATACACTCTGCAAAATCCTGCTCAATGTACAGAATTGCCCACAATCCTGCTCTTCCCCCACTGACAGAGTCTGCTTCACTATGCTCAGATAACATCAGAGGTAACTGTGTAGTACAGCACAGGTCTGCTGGAAGTGGACAGTCAACTTTCTCCATTAGAGCTGCAACACAATACCCATCAGACACTGCTCTACTCTCTAGTTTAAAATCACAACTGATGGCTGAAACATAACCAGTCATGTGACCTTTAGTTACAAACTACTGAATGTTTCGTTTTTGTATGATGCAAAGTTCTTTTAGTTCTGTTCTGTTGGGTTCTATGGCTACCTAGCTAACTCTACGAGAGTCAGTGACTGTCCACTGTCCCTGTTAAATAAACAAAATAATAAATAGTAAAGAGTGCACATAGTAAAAGTGAAGCAGTGAGGATCCTGTCACCTGAACATAACTGTGTGAGTTGGGCGGCCAGTTTCTTCTCCCATCTCAACGTGTTCTGTAACTAATTTTGTGCCTTTTTTATTTCAGGAGAAGTTAAGTTTCACACCTGAACTGCTGATTGAGTCTGGAAAGACTTCATACAGGTAACCAAGTCACAACATGCAGAATGCTCCATTCAGTGACTTTAACCTACGCTTCACCTCCTCTCAGCACTTTAATCGAAAGTTGGACCTTTTCAGTAGAGTTTAGCTCAGAAGGTACCAGCATACTTCAGCAGAACTACTCTTCTGATGGTGGAACAGCTACAGAAACCCCTGGAGGCTCTGTAGGACAATCTCTTTAACTTTCTGAAACCGACAATCTGACATGACCCGCCAAACTCAGTGATTGGTAAGCTGTGTGGGCGGGGCGAGAAAGTAGAAGGTTTTGAACTCTTCTCTTTATTCGTGCTGTTATTTCAATGATTGGCTGTGTGAAGCTGAAGGTTTTCTCACTTGTGAAATGAAAAGTATTGTAGGAGCCATACTGCCTGTTTTCTTCCAAGCCACAGGGGGCATGATATTGAGTTGTGTTGGAAGGCCGATGCTGGTCTCAGGTAATTTAAGTTCCTGTATTTTTGTAAACAGGTGTTGTTAATTTGAAGTAGAGGAGGAAACAGTTTTTAACTGTGCTTGGATTATGTTGTTTATTCTACTTTATATGACATTATTTATTGTAAGTGGACGCAGGATATAAACGCCAACTATTAGAAAAACTGCAAACTATTAGAAAAGACTGGACATCATTTTATGGGGCACACGTTAGAAACAATAGATCAACTAAAACTGCAAGCAGTTGTAAGCGGGGTCCAAGCCTCCCGGCGCAAGCCATCCCCCCTGGCCCCGCGGAGGGCGCGCGAGTCGGCTCGGGTGCCCCGTGATCGTGCCGCATAAGGACCCCAAGTTTGGTGTGGATCCGCCATTCCAAACCTAGGTAAAATGTGGTATGGTTGGAAATCCTATTAATTTCAATGGGATTTTCCACGGCCTTTCAGCTACGATTATAGCGCCACCTAGAATCCAAATTGAATAAAATTTTTCAGGTGTCATCAGAGGCCCATGCGGAAGAATTTACCCAAATTTGGTGTCAATCAGACTTGCGGTTATGGAGATATAAAATGCATGTAAGTCAAAGGGATTTTTTTTCAATAGCACCAACTAGCGGCTAACTGTACCAAATTTTGCACAGTCCCTCAGGGGGGCATGCCACATAAGGTCCTCAAGTTTTGTGTTGATTGGCCTTTCCAAGCCTTAAATATGTTAGACTTCCTGTTTTTAGTGTTTTAATATTTGTTAGCTTGCAATAGGGACATTTTTTGTCAGATCAAAATTCCCTCTACAAACTTCTATCGGTTCGGTCCAGAGATGGTCCGTGCCAAGGTTGGTCGCGATCAGACTTGTGGCTTTGGAGGAGTTCATTAAAATAGGTTTTTCAGTTTCTGCAGTTTCGCGAAATGAAAACGTCATCGCACAGAGGCATGTCCTATACCATCGGAATCAGCAGCATCCCCCAAACACACAGACGTAAGGTTTATGAATGTGCAATGTACTGAGCCGTAGTTATCCTGCAAAATGTCCGTTGGTTTAAAATCCCATTGAAATGAATGGGGTATTTGAGCTTCAATTATAGCGCCACCTTTTGGCCGAAGTGCACCAAATTTTTCAGGTGTGATCAGGGCCCAAGATTTGACCCAAATTTGGTGTCAATCGGACTTTTGGTGATGGAGATATAAAATGCATGTAAATCAATGGGATTTATTTTGACGTCTTTAATCTGCAATAACAGCGCCACCTATGGGCATATTTGGGGGAAGTTTGGTGCCTGTAGTAAGGGGACCATGCTGAACAATTCGGCACTGGTTTCATGTCAGTATGACTTGTGGTTGTAGAGCAACAATTTTCTTGGATTAAATAGCGCCCCCTAGGGGCAAGTTGCACCACATTTTGCACAGGCCTTCAAGGTGGTGTCCCACATTAACGCTCCAAATTTTGCTGTCGATCGGCCATTCCAAAGCAAAGATATGACATCATTTCCTGTTAGTAGCGTTTTTTGCAAACGTTTGCTAGCATATAATTGCGACATTTTTTGTCAGATCAAAATTTCCTCTACAAACTTTCATCAGCTTGTTCCAGAGATTATCCATGCCAAGTTTGGTGTCGATCGTACTTGCGGCTTTAGAGGAGTTAATTAAAATAGGTTTTTCAGTTTTCACAATGTAGGGAAAAAGGTTTAGGCGGAAATAGGCGTGGCCTATACCACGAGATTCAGCTCGATCCCTGAACACGTGGATTTTGCTATCTAGCTCCGCTGGTACTGGGAACCGTGATGCCTTGCGCATTCGCGGGTTCCCAGCCCACTTCTGGCTTGGACCCCCAATTAGCAACCAATAGTGGTTAAATATAGGGCATAGTCACTACACTTTAAGTTAAAAACTGCTTCACTTCGGATCTGTGGGAATCTACGCGTTGTCAATTAGGGATCAATGCGGTTTGGAGACGGGACCTAGGCTGGACCGGAGCGTCTGGAGCAAAACCAGGTGATCTAGGCTCAGCATTGAGATGCCGGCCAACGTTGGGGTATGTTCAGTGCTGATTAAATTTGAATAATAGCCATTGTTATGTGTACACACTTACAAATGAGTAAATCCAATGCATTGGTTGCAATTGCTTTGAACTGTGCATGTTAAGAACGTTTCACGGACGTAAGCCGTTTCGTGTATTTAAAGTGCTACTGGCTAATAATTAAAGAGGAAAATCCGCAATCCTGCGTCACAGATTGATAATCTGATTGGAAACAAGACTGAGTTTGATGGAAGTGTAAAAGGAGAACTAGAAAGGGGCACTGTGGAAAAGCGCTCTACTGAATTAACACCCAAAGCTTTGTGTGGGGAAAATAGACAATTTACGGAAAGAAAAGTAACCTAAATAAATTGTGTTTTAAGAAATTTGATGATTAAAAATTTGACAGTGAGGTGAAATGTACATTTGAAAAGTATAAAAGGTATTTGTGATTAAGCAAGACAAATACATGTCACTCTGCTGGGATTATTGCCTAAAGATGAAGCAACCAAACATGAAATATGGTTCCAAGCAAAAATGTTAAATGTGAAGGTGTTTATTGCTGATTGTGTGATGTTCAAAGTCACCCTGTTGATTGTGATGAGAATAAAGGAGGTTGTGGGTTGAGCCTAATGACAATGTCTCAAATATCTCCAGCCAAAACAACAAGTCACAAAAGCTCAAAGTGGTAAAACATCTTCTCATACTTCATCTGCACGTGTTTAAGCAGAGGCAGACAAGGCTGCACTTTTAGCTAGTGCTGCTGCTTTAAAGGAGATGCATGAACTGCAGGAGCAGGCACTGATCTTGAGGAAGAAGGAGCAGCTTGAGCTGGACACTGACATTGCAGCGTCTATGGCTAAGCTAGCTGCTCTCCAAGCTTGTGACAGCAATGTTTTTTTTTTTTTTTCCCCCCTTTCTGAAATCAGATGGAATGGGGGTTGAACACAAATACATATCTACATCTCTCAATCCAAATGGGGAAAAAAAATGAGCCTTTGCAGAGGCAATCAACAAATCATTTAAAGGACCCACCTCACTACAGTAAGCATGATGATTGTTACGGTTTCAGACAGAACGGACCCAAACTCAACACTCTGGTATCTTAACTAATTTATTGAGAAGGGGGGCCATCAAGGAGCTGGCGAGACAGGAGAAGTCCAGGCGAGAGGGCCGAGGAAATTGAAGGCCGAGGGGGGAAGGAGTGTGACGGCCGGCTGACTGGCGAAGCACGAAGGAGAGCAGGAGGACGCCGTGGGGGAAGTCCGAGGGGAGAGGGCAGGTGGCCGAGCCCAGCTGACTCGACGGAGGGTGAGTGAATCTGGGGAGAGGCAGACAGACAGGGTTAGACAGAGAAAACTAAAAACAGGGCTTGAGCGAGGGAGTAGCACCAGGTTAGGAGCAACAACGATCAAGCAGCGATCGTGTGGAGAACCGGGTTGAAGTACTGGCAGGGATGGAGTTGATTGCTGGCAGGTGTGGCAGGCAGAGGAGGTGGCTGACGAGGTGCAGGTGTGGATCGTCAGCTGGGCTCAGGAGCAGAGAGAGAGGGGGAGAGCACAAGCAAGGGGAGCAGAGGAGACATAGACGGGCTGGCCAAAACACAAGGGAAAAACAGAATCACAAGAAAAAAAAGGAGAAAGAAACAGGACACTCACCGTCAGCCAGGCTGCCACCACAGCAATGATGCCAGAGTTCAACAAGAGATGCCAACAATACCTACAGTAACTCTGGGTCCTCTGGAACAGCAAGCAAACCCAGCATTCATCCATAGCTCTTTACCATCTGAAAGCAATACTCAAGCGCCAGGGGATTTATACATCTGTAATGACGGAATGAAATAACATTGCTCCTGGTTCAATTGCAAACCTCACAATTTCTGCCTCACAGGGAAATTCCAATCTTTTATGGAGATCCTCTGCATTTCAAATCATTCATGAAAGCTTTTGAGCATTGCGTGGAAGCAAAAACAAACAATAAGGGGGACTGCCTTTACTATCTTAAACAATTTACTAAGGGGCAGCCAAGAGATCTTTTACACAGCTGTTTTCATATGGCACCAGATAGAGGTTACACTGTTGCCAAGCAGCTACTGAAGGATCATTCACAAAGTTTCTTACTTATGTCATTAACAAAGGCTATGCAGAACAGGTGCCTCAACATCAGTCACTTACCATGCAAGGGTAAGATATGGTGTATATACCACACCACGGAGTATATCATCCTAATAAGAGAACCTTTCGTCTTGTGTTTGACTGTGGAGAAGACTTCAAAGGCGTCTCTCTCAATAGTAATACAATAATAATAATAATACATTTTATTTATAGGCGCCTTTCTGAACACTCAAGGTTACCTCACAAAACATAATAAAACAGTACAGCAATAATCGCTAAAATTAACAACTATAAATACAGTGCATAATGTCAGGGTACAAAACAACTGGAAACAAAGATTGAGCAAGAGTGATCACGTGAGATATGCCACTTTCAAAAGATGTGTTTTCAGGCAGGATTTAAAAATGGAAAGTGAGTCAATGTTGGGGATGTCTGGTGGAAAAGAGTTCCAGAGAAGAGGGGCAAAGCGGCTGAAGGCTCTGAACCCCATGGTGGTTAAACGAGCAGGAGGTACAGTCAGGTGAATAGAAGAAGAAGACCTAAGAGTCAGTGGTGTTTTCAAATCAATTCGGTATTTTACTTGAAGCCAATGAAGCTGCTGAAGGACACGAGTAATTTGATTAATAGATGAATTACAGTTGAAGTTTATGTATGGATTTGAGAGGAAGACCAACGAGAAGAAAATTACAATAATCAATGCGGGATGTGACCAGTGTGTGAACGAAAATGGCTGTACTAGTGGGTGAGAGAGACGGTCGGAGGCGATTAATGTTACGTAAATGGAAGTATGCTGACCGAGTGACATCATTAATGTGAGCTTGAAATGAAAGAGTGTTGTCGAGGATCACACCCAGACTCTTGACCTGAGGGGAGGGGGAAACTGTGCAGTTGTCAATGGTAAAAGAAAAACTGTCAAATTTAGTCAGTGGATTTGGTGCCAATGAGGAGAACCTCGGTTTTGTCACTGTTCAGTTTGAGGAAGTTGCAAGAGAACCAGGATTTGATTTTTGTTAGGCAATCAGAGAGAGAGGTGGGTGGGAGGGATGTGGTAGGTTTGGCAAACAGGTAGAGCTAGGTGTCATCCACATAGCAGTGGAAATGGATGGATCGAAAGATATGGCCAAGAGGAAGCAGATAGGTGATGAACAGAAGGGGCCCCAGGACACCGGTAGAGAAGACTAGCTCTGATTTGAAATGTTTGAGTTGGATGAACTGAGTGCGGTCAGAGAAATATGATTTAAACCAGTCCAAGGGTGTGTCAGTGAAACCAATTGAGACTAATCTGTCAAGGAGGAGGTTATGAGAGATGGTGTCAAAGGCTGCACTCAGATCAAGGAGGATGAGAATAGTTAGTAGTCCGGAATCAGCTGCCATGAGAAGATCATTGGTGATTTTTACCAGTGCTGTTTCTGTGCTATGGCAGGAAATGTTCATAGAGGTTATTGTCAGACATGTGTGTATAGACCTGAGACGCAACTGTTTTTTCAAGGATTTTAGAAAGAAAAGGTAGGTTAGAAATAGGACGGAAGTTGTTGAAATTGTTGGGGTCTGCACCAGGTTTCTTCCCACACAAAGGGAAGAACATGTCACTGGTAGACCTCTCCGCTGAGAACTCATTAATTTCCTTTTGTCAGCGTGAAAGATTCCAGGACGAGATGGCTGCATTATCATCTCAAAAATCAGTGAAAAAGGGCAGCACCATCTACAAGCTGGATCCAGTTCTGGAAGATGGCCTTCTGAGAGTTGGGGGACGCCTCAATAAATCAGCTTTGCCTGAGGACACAAAACATCCCCTCATCCTATCTAAAGACCAATACCTCTCAAACTCAGCCATTTTCATGAGCAGTTGGGCCACGGGGGAAGAAATCATGTGCTTTCCACTGTAAGGAAAACGTATTGGATCACAAATGCTTACTCTGCAGTGAGTAAATTCATAACAAGATGCAGATTTTGCAGACTCTGAACAAAAGATGGCAGACTTGCCCACAGAGAGAATTGTTCCTGATCTCCCTCCATTCACTAATGTTGGTGTTGATTATTTTGGTCCATTCGATGTGAAAAGGGGATGCAACATTGTAAAACGTTACGGAGTGATCTTCACTTGAATGACAAGTAGGGCCATTCAACTGGAAGCTGCTTACTCTCTTGATACAATGCATTGCGAAGGTTCATCTGTCGGAGAGGACAGGTTTGTCACATGAGATCAGACAATGGTACCAACTTTGTGGGAGCTGAAAAAGAGTTGAGAGAAGCCTTAGCATTGTTAAACCAGGATCACATTGAAAGATACCTGTCGCAAAAATGGAGTTTTAACCCACCTGCTGGATCACATCATGGTGGCATTTGGGAGAGCATGAAATGGATAATCAGAAGGGTTTTGAGTTCAGTGCTTTGTCAAAGTTTGGATGATGAAGCATTTCAAACAGTGCTTTGTGAGGTTGAAGCAATGCTGAACGACCGGCCCATCACTAAATTATCTGAAGATCCAAATGACCTTGAGGCACTGACTCCTAATCACTTGCTTCTACTGAAAGGGAAACCAATTCTACCACCAGGACTTTTTGAAAGAAGTGATCTGTATTCAAGAAGAAGATGGAAACAGGTCCAATATATTGCTGATCTCTTCTGGAAAAGATGGACTCAAGAACACCTACCATTGTTGCAGGAACGACAAAAATGGACAAAGGAAAAAAGAAGTTTTATGCCTGGAGATGTTGTTGTGGATTCTACAGCTCCACGTGGATCTTGAATGCTTGGAAAAGTACTGGAAACTTTCCCTGACAAAGGGGACTTGTACGTTCTGTTCGTCTTCAAACAAAGACAAATGTAGTTATACGACCTGTGACAAAAATTTGTCTCTTATGTGAGGCCACAGAGTAAATATGGGTAAATATAAGGGTTCGATATGGTTTGTGCTGTAAAAATGTGCACGTTATTAAAACTAAAGTGTGGTTTTGCTGTAGATTAGTTTTACTTTTGTTTGTTTCTTTACATTATGTCCCCTTTATATATATTGTTAGAAAATTGCTTTGTCTTCTGCCAGAAGCAATTAGGGGCTAGTGTGTAGGAGCCATACTGCCTGTTTTCCTCCAAGCCACAGGGGGCATGTTATTGTGTTGTGTTTTAAGGCCGATGTTGGCCTCAGGTAATTTAAGTTCCTGTATTGTAGCAAACAGGTGTTGTTAATTTGAAGAAGAGGAGCGAACAGGTTTTAACTGTGCTTGGATTATGTTGTTTATTCTACTTTAAATTACATATTATTTATAATAAGTAAGTAAGTAACTATTGTAAGTTATTGTAAGTAACTATTAGAAAAGACTGGACATTGTTTTTCGGGGCACACGTTAGAAACAATAGATCAATTAGCAACCAGTAGCGGCTAAATATAGGGCATAGTCACTACAAGCATTTAAATAATTAATTTTAATGTCCCTCGCCTTGGTACAGTCTTATTCTATAGAAAACAGTCTTGAAACGAATAGTATAGAAAACATGCACATTGTGGCACAGTTTACTTTGCTGTTGCTATTCTTGTGATAAACCTGGTGAAAACTAAAGATGAAGTGTGAACAGATTATTTTGTAGAAATCTGATGAGAATGAAACAATTGCGTGAGTGTGAGGGAATAAAAATAAATTGTTAAGGAAGTCAGAGGTGTGTTAATATATTTAAGTTTCTTTTGTAAAAAAAAAAAAGTTTTAAATAATTCTGAGGAGTGCCTTTTTTTTAACTTGAGCCCCCCAAAATATCTGTCAGGCAGATGTGATCACATCTCGAACATGATGCATTTTAATATCAGGTGTAAATGGGGTTTCTGTTACTATTATAGAATAACCTAATTTATGTTCATATGTAACTCACATTCATAAAGTTAAATTTCTTCATGTTTTAATTTTTCTTGAAATGAGGAAGTTTACTTGTTAAAGTTGTTGGGCCTCACATCCGTGACAACAAAAACGGGCATGCAGGTCACTGAGGAGTCTGGCCATGCGACTTCTCTACACAAAGGGCGTCAGAGAACAAAGGAAAGCCCAGACAGCCCCTAATCAGTTAATTCACACCTACCTGTTAACTCAAACTTTTAAAACCAAACCAAAGGTTTGTATTTGCTGAAGCTTTCAGGGCACGGAGAAATTGCAGGAAATACAGCCATTTTGTCAAACCGAACACCTCTATTAATAACACCGCTATTCCCAGTTCTTCACAGGACTGTAAGAAGGTATTCTCTTACAGCGCTGAACTTTCTTTGTTCCTGAATACAGACTTTACTCGCTGGACGAGCTACTTTGTTTTCTTCTTCTTTCTACCTCTATTATTTTTTCTTTGTGTTACCAACACAATTTTGGATCCCTAAGGAAACTGTTATACACAAGATCACATTTCAAGCCTGAGAGAAAACTCCGCTGGATTTCTTAAAAGAACTGACGCATCTACTCGCTACCAAAGCGACACTAAGAGTTTTTTTTATTTCATTTTATTAATCTGTGTTATGAATGTTGTGGTGACGTTTCAATGACGTGATGTGAGTGGGGGAATAGAGGAAGGGACAACACTGTCTGTTCCATCGTCCCCCCAAACCTCTCCTGGAGTATTCCTGTGGTGTAATTACTGTCACTGTCAGAAGGGGGAGACAAAAGTTCCACACTGCAGGTTTAAATGATCAGCTTGTTCTCAAGCAGGAGTTCATAACAAGTTGATCATTTAAACCAGCTGTGTTGGAGCAGGCAGAGATCTAAAACATGCAGGACAAGGTGAGAGCAGCAGGGGGTCGGGAAACACTGGTCTGCTCCATCCCCACCTCCAAAGGCTCCAAGACAACCTGACCAGCGAGTGTAGACTGTGAGAGTGAGCGAGTGTTGATCAGTTTCAAGAGTGCAGGGAGGATCAAGCTGGCGCTCTTCACAGCTGCTCGGTGGACTGAATCTGAGAATGCAGAGATGAAATGTTCCCTTGCCAGAATGCTCTTCCTCTCCCAGAGTATATATTTTTTGCTCCCATGTCCGTTAGTAGGGCATAGAGGGCCTGAATGACTTAATGTGCAGTAAACCATAGAAAAAATCGATGTGGCGGTCAATGTTGAGACTGTTGCAGGCCACAAATAAATCAATGTATGGTCACACCAGATGATGTCTGTAGAAGGCTGACATTATGATGATCCACAATAAAACAATGACAAAGTCCCTCTACTCATTTTAGGGAAAAGCTCATTGATTAGGACATAGTAATGTTGAGCTCCACATTTAAAACCTGAACACAACTGATTGGATTAGAAAAGGATTTTTATCTCCATCATTTATTCTTTATTCAGCTTGAGGAGCTGCAGGTTGTCAGAGATCAGCTGTGCTTCTCTGGCCTCAGCTCTGAAGTCCAACCCCTCCCATCTGAGAGAGCTGAAGCTGAGCTACAAGAACAAGCTGCAGGATTCAGGAGTGAAGCTGCTGTCTGATCTTGTTAAGAGTCTACACTGCAGACTGGAGACTCTGAGGTCAGTAGTGAGTTAAAGTCGGTCCATGCTGCTTCCATTTGTTGGTCTCACAGCTGGTACATTTGACAGCATCCAATCAAAGCTCCAGCATTTCTAGGTACAGTGAGGGCTTTGCTAAAATTTGGAGGTGTGAGAGGAGGCAATCTGACACTGAGACGCTCACACAGAGTTTTTATTGTTATTAGATTTAATGTTCATGTTTATTAAGAGGGGTTTGGTTTAGTGTGTTTTTTGGGTGTCAAACACACTAAACTAACACCTGGTAAACATCAACATGTTAACATTGAGTTCAGCCTCACAGAGCTGCTCGCAAGGCTGCAGACTCTTATGTATTTGCTGTATTTGTGTTTATTCCTGCAGGCTGGATGACAGAGTAATCAGGGCTACACCTGACAGACATGAACGACGTGAGTAATAGTCCACTGGAACAACTTAAAGAAATGTAAACTGAAGATTGGCTGCTGTACTTCATGGCTCTGGTTAATCCCAGTAACCACAGCAGGTCTTTGGCTTTGTTCTGCTCTGCATGTTGGGAAAGATGATGTGTTGTTGCTGTGTTGCCTCACTGCACTTGTTATACCTGTGTACATTTGATTGCATGGACAAGGCTTAACTTGGTATCTTTGGACTTTTAAACATGACTGTGCTTAGTCTTCTACATTGTGACATGAGAGGCTGGAGAGTTTTCCAGTAGATAAAAACAGGAAACACGGGGTAAAGACCTGCTCCAAAGGGCCCTGGCCAGCCGTGAACTGGTTGCTGTGATTTTGAATGTTGGGTCACCAGGACGTCCAAAAGTGAGTTTGACATCTGCTTCTTCTTCTCCCCATCTGATGGCTCTGATCACCACCAGATCCATCCACATCAAACACAAAGCTCGCTGTGTCTGAGGATGACAGAGAGAACCAGCTGTGTCCTGATGATCCAGAGAGGTTGAAGCAGCAGCAGCTTCTGTGTGGAGAGGCTCTGAATATAAAGGTCAGTTTTTAACCTTAACATTTTTACATTTAGCTGATGCTTTTATCCAACTTACAACTTACAATTGCTATATATGTCAGAGGTCACACGCCTCTGGAGCAACTAGGGATTAAAGGAGACCTATTATACTGCTTTTCCAGTCCTATTTAGTAGTTCTGTGACTCCTGTATGGCAGCTTTGAAAAATCTTCATGTAGGCCTTCATTTCAGCCTCTGTCTGAAACAAGCTGTAGATGTAAGCCCCCCCACCCCCAAAGTGATTTAAAAGAACTGACTGTTTCAGCAGACCTGCAGTTATCTGGGAGTTTGTTCCAGATATACGAAGCATAATAACTGAACGCTGCTTCTCCTTGTTTAGTTTTGACTCTGGGGACAGAAAGCAGACCTGCCCCAGACGATCTGAGAGGTCTGGATGGTTCATAACGAAGCAGAAAATCAGAAATGTATTTTGGCCCTAAACCATTTAGTGCTTTATAGACTAACAGCAGGATTTTGAAATCAATTCTTTGACATACAGGAAGCCAATGTAAAGACCTCAGAATTGGAGTGATGTGATCCACCTTTTTGGTCTTAGTGAGGACTCGAGCAGCAGCGTTCTGAATCAGCTGCAGCTGTCTGATGGATTTCTTAGGGAGCCTGTAAGGACACTGTTACAGTATTCGAGTCGACTGAAGATAAATGCATGGATAAGCTTTTCCAGGTCCTGCTGAGACATAAGTCCTTTAATCCTTGATATATTCTTCAGGTGATAGTATGCTGACTTTGTAACTGTCTTAATATTCAATTCAATTCAGTTTTATTTATATAGCGCCAAATCACAACAACAGTTATCTCACAGCGCTTTTCATAAAAGAGCAGGTCTAGACCGTACTCTGTGATGTTATTTACAGAAGCCCAACAGTTCCCACCAAGACCAAGCACTAGGCGACAGAGGCAAAGAAAAACTTCCTTTTAAGAGGCAGAAACCTCGAGCAGAACCATGGCTCAGGGTGGGCGGCCATCTGCCTCGACCGGTTGGGGGTGAAGGAGAGAGAGAGAGAGAGGGCGAGAGAGAGAGAGAGAGAGACAGAGAGAGGGCAAGAGAGGAACAGAGAGAAAAATAGAGGGATGGAAGGGAGAGAGAGAGGGGAGGGAGGCAGCCTACACAATATCCACACAGAGGTACAGACAGTAAAGGTGATGTTGCTATAGACTAAATGAAAAAGGTATAGATATTTATAGTAGTGTTAATGATTATAATAACAATAATAACAATAGGACTAGTAACAATAGTCGTTGCAGCAGAGGGTGTCGAGCAGGAACACGGGGGCAGCAGATGACCCGCAACCACAGATCCAGACTCCACAGCTCCAGAGCCAGAAAACCTGCAGGAAGTGATAGGAGAGAGGAGAGAGACGAGAAAGCACAAGACTACCGGAAAGGGGAGAAGTTGTGTTAGTAACATGCAATAATGGGATGAGGTTGCATACAGAGAGAGAGAGAAAGTAGAGGAGAGAGGAGCTCAGTGCATCATGGGAAATCCCCCGGCAGTCTAGGCCTATAGCAGCATAACTAAGGGATGGTTCAGGGCTCACCTGAGCCAGCCCTAACTATAAGCTTTATCAAAGAGGAAAGTCTTAAGCCTACTCTTAAATGTGGAGATGGTGTCTGCCTCCTGAACCCAAACTGGAACCTGGTTCCACAGGAGAGGAGCTTGATAGCTGAATGCTCTGGCTCCTAGTCTACTTTTGGAGACTCTAGGAACCACAAGTAACCCTGCATTCTGGGAGCGCAGTGCTCTGGTGGGGTAGTAAGGTACTATGAGCTCTTTCAGACAAGATGGTGCCTGACCATTAAGAGCTTTGTAGGTAAGAAGAATGAATGATTTAAAATTCTATTCTGGATTTTACTGGAAGCCAATGCAGAGAAGCTAAGACAGGAGAAATATGATCTCTTTTCCTGGTTCCTGTCAGAACACACGTGCTGCAGCATTCTGGATCAGCTGAAGAGTCTTAATGGACTTTTTCGAGCAGCCTGATAATAAAGAATTGCAGTAATCCAGCCTAGAATTAACAGATGCATGGACTAGTTTTTCTGCATCATTTTTAGACAGGATGTTCCTGATTTTCGCAATATTACGTAGGTGAAAAAAGACGGTCCTTGAAATTTGCTTAATGTGAGACTTAAACGACATGTCCTGATCAAAGATAACTCCAAGATTCCTCACAGTGGTGCTGGAGGCCAGGGCGATGCCATCAAGGGAAACTATATCTTTAGATAATGCGTCACGGAGGTGCTTAGGCCCCAGAGCAATAACTTCAGTTTTATCTGAGTTTAACATTAGAAAATTACAGGTCATCCAGGTTTTAACATCCTGAAGGCATATTTGAAGTTTAGTTAACTGGTGAGTTTCATCTGGCTTGATCGATAGATATAACTGAGTATCATCTGCATAACAATGAAAGCTTATGGAATATTTCCTGATAATATTGCCTAAAGGAAGCATATATAAAGTGAAGAGGATTGGTCCGAGGACAGATCCTTGAGGAATTCCATGACTAACTTTGGCCGCATGGAGGATTCATCGTTAACATGTACAAACGAATCTGAAATCGATCTGATAAATAGGACTTAAACCAGTTTAGAGTGGTTCCTTTAATGCCAATGAAATGTTCCAGTCTCTGCAATAGGATCTGATGGTCAATGGTATCATATGCAGCACTAAGATCTAATAAAACCAGTACAGAGACAAGTCCTTTGTCTGATGCAATAAGGAGGTCGTAATTTTCACCAGTGCTGTCTCTGTGCTATGATGAGCTCTAAATCCAGACTGAAAAACCTCAAATAAACTATTGCTCTGTAGAAAGTCACACAGCTGTTTAGCAACTGCTTTCTCCAGAACCTTAGAGAGAAATGGAAGGTTAGATATAGGTCTATAGTTGGCTAAAACATCCGGATCAAGTTTGGGCTTTTTCAGAAGAGGTTTAATTACAGCTACTTTAAAGTACTGTGGTACATAGCCTGTAGATAAAGATAAATTGATCATATCTAGTATAGAAGTGCTGACTAAGGGTAAAACATCTTTAAGCAACCTAGTCAGGATGGGGTCTAAGAGGCAGGTTGATGGTTTAGATGAAGAAATTATTGAAGTTAGTTGGTAAAGATTGAGGGAAGCAAAACAGTCTAAACATATATCTGGTTCTACAGCTGTTTCTAAGGTTCCTGAGTTTAGAGATAAGTCGGTGCCAGTTGAGGGCAGGTCTTGGTGAATTTTATCATTAAAGAAGCTCATGAAATCGTAACTACTGAGAGCTATGGGAATACTTGGCTAGTAATAGAGCTGTGACTCTCTGTCAGCCTGGCTACAGTGCTGAAAAGAAACCTGGGGTTGTTCCTATTTTCCTCTATTAATGACGAGTAGTACGCTGCTAGGGCATTACGGAGGGCCTTCCTATAAGTTTTAAGACTATCTTGCCAAATTAAACGGAGGTACATTTGTGTGTCATCAGCATAAATATGAAAAGAAATACCATGTTTATGGATAATATGTCCAAGGGGAAGCAGATACAAGGAAAACAAAATGTGTCCTGAGACCGACCCCTGAGGTACACCATATTTAACTGGACAGAACAAAGAGACATAGTTGTTTACAGACATGCAAAACTTCCTATTTGACAGGTAGGATGAAAACCATTCTAGGGCAGTACAGAGATCCCCACCCAGTGCCTCAGTCTGTCTAACATGATGTTGTGATCAATGGTGTAGGTAACTGTGTAGTACAGCACAGGTCTGCTGGATTTGGATGGTCAGCTTTCTCCATTAGAGCTGCAGCACAATACCCATCAGGCACTGCTCTACTCTCTAGTTTAAAATCACAACTGATGGCTGAAACCTAACCAGTCATGTGACCATTAATCAAAAACTACTGAACATTTCTTTTTTTGTATGATGCAATGTTTTAAATGGAAAGTGCTTTTAGTTCTGTTCTGTTGGGTTCTATAGCTACCTAGCTAACTCTGGGAGAATCAGTGACTGTCCACTGTCCCGGTTAAATAAACAAAAGAATAAATAGTAAAGAGTGCACGTAGTAAAAGTGAAGCAAGGAGGATCCTGTCTGTGAGAGTTGGGCGGCCAGTTTCTGCTCCCATCTCAACTTGTTCTGTAATTAATTTTGTGCCTTTTTTATTTCAGGAGAAGTTAAGTTTCACACCTGAACTGCTGACTGAGTCTGGAAAGACTTCATACAGGTAACCAAGTCACAACATGCAGAATGCTCCATTCAGTGACTTTAACCTACGCTTCACCTCCTCTCAGCACTTCAACTGAAAGTTGGACCTTTTCAGTAGAGTTTAGCTCAGAAGGCACCAGCATACTTCAGCAGAACTACTCTTCTGATGGTGGAACAGCTTCAGAAAACCCTGGAGGCTCTGTAGGACAATCTCTTTAACTTTCTGAAAGACAATCCCACATGACCCACCTCACTCAGGGATTGGTCAGCTGAAAGTAGGCGAGGTTTGAACTCTTCTCTCTTTATTTACTCTCTGTTATCTTAATATTTAAATGATATCTGCCTCTCTGTGCTGGACAGCTTTTCCGTTCACAACTACTTGAAACACTGTTTAATTTACTGATAAATTTGTTATTTTTCAAGCATACAGCATTTAAGATCAGCTGTCATGTCAACTCCTTTCATTACATTTATTCATTTAGCTGACGCTTTTATCTAAAGCGACTTACAATTGCTATTTATGTCAGAGGTCACACGCCTCTGGTCTCTCACACCAAAGGCAGGCATCTTATCCATTGTGCCATCACTACCCCTTTCAGTGCTTACTCTTCATTTTAATACTCACACACTTCCAACAATTCAGTTTGGTCTCCAACTTTTTAAAGAATGCAGCACAGCACTTTTATTTCAGCAGTATCTTCCTCTAGTTTTATTTCATTCATTTCCCAGGACAAAAGCTGGATGTCTTTCAGCCCCAATCTGGTCACCGCTGTAACTAATATGAATAATAATAAAACCTACCAAAATATGATGCTATAATGAACTGTAGTGCATATGAGGAGTAACCACCTAAAATATGCAGCCTGAATAAATAAGCCTTAAAAGGCAACAAAATATGCATCATAAACTCATGAACTGATGTAAAAGCATTGTTGCAGTTTAAAAGAGAGAAGAAAAGAAGCACATTTGAGAGTTCAGTGGTGCAAAACCATCATCACTGGTCTACAGAGATAAATAGAGAGAAAAGTCATGAATATGGCCCAAGACTCATCGCTCATTATTTTCTCCACAAGTGGATGCCAACAGGCTTCAAAGCTGTTCTGGCAACACGTGCTGCCCAAATCCTAAGAGACTTTGTTTTGGTTTTTACTTTAATTTGTCTAGATAACCGCAAATAAAAGTAGGAACAATATTGTCATATACTATTGTCACCCAGGGTTCAGTGGTCTCTGTCAGAGGAATGCAGAAGAGGAACTGTGAGTTACTGTGTCAGGCAGAAGTGGCATTGCATCTTACATTTCTGTTTAAGTCTGTTTAAGACTGGATCAGCTGGTAAACCCAACCCCTCCTTGTGCCTCAGCCGGAAGTAATGATGACTGTGAATTGTTTTTATCTTATTTTACCAATAAGGTGGTGTCAATCAGAGCCTCTATTACCCCCGCGGCCTCTTACTCAGAGGTTCCTCACCAGCAACAAGAGAGTTTTAACCAGTTTTATCCCAATCGACTTGTCTGAGCTTTTAAAAACAGTATCACAAATGAGAGTGTCCTCCAGCCCACTTGATGTAATACCTACAAAGTTTTTACTGAAAGTAATAGATTCTGTTGGGCCCCATTTGATCTCTGTTTTCAACAGCTCCCTATCTACTGGTTGTGTCCCTGATTATTTTAAAACGGCTTGCGTGAACCCACTTTTAAAGAAACCTGGTTTAGATCCCTCCCTCCCACATAATTTTAGACCAATTTCAAAACTGCCTTTTATTCTAGAAAGAATTGTGCCCAAACAGCTACTCACTGTACTGGAAAATAAAATATTATTTGAAAAGTTTCAGTCTGGTTTCAGGAAGTACCACAGCACTGAGACTGCCCTGCTTAAAGTCACCAATGACCTTTTAATGTCTGCTGATGAAGGCATGTGCTCAGTCCTGGTACTCCTGGACCTTAGCGCTGCTTTTGACACCATTGATCACAACATCATGTTAGACAGACTGAGGCACTGGGTGGGGATCACTGGTACTGCCCTAGAATGGTTTTCATCCTACCTGTCAAACAGGAAGTTTTGCGTGTCTGTAAACAACTATGTCTCTTCGTTCTGTCTAGTTAAATATGGTGTGCCTCAGGGGTCGGTCTTATGACCCATTTTGTTTTCCTTGTATCTGTCACGGTTTGTTGTGTGGAGGCAGGTAGTAGGACCCAAATAGTGCAGGTATAGTTCGGTGGTTTTAATTAAACAAAAGGTGAGCACACTTACAAACTGAGTGGCTGATGACAGAGTCCAAAAACAAAGGTTGTCGAACAGAAAACCAAAAACCAAAATCCAAAAATGAGCAGGGTAACAGGGAGACACGGCGAGTAAGGCTGAAGACACGAGAACAAACTGCAACACTGGGTGACAATAAACAATGACCCGACAAAGACAATACAGAAACACCAGGTATATATACACACACAGGGACTAACGAGCAGGGCGGGAGCAACACAGGTGAAAGACATGAGGCTAACGAGGCACAGGTAGGGAGAGAGAGAGCAGGGGAAAACAGACAGAAATGCAGAGGGATCACTGGGGTAACAGACATGACAAGGGTTACCGAACACTAGACGACAGACAAGACAGACCCCCAAATCCCATCAGACAAAAATAAAGCTAACTAAACACAAAAGTGCAAAACACGGCATGGCAGACAGGCAGAGTGTGACAGTATCTGCTTCCCCTTGGACATATTATCCATAAACATGGTATTTCTTGATTCTGAGTTCAATTAACAACTGCCTTTGTGAAGTTAAAAAATGGATGTGAAATAATTTCCTCCAGCTGAACTCAGACAAAACAGAAATCCTGGTCATCGGGTCCCAGCAGATGGCAAATCAAATACTGCCATCTGCTGGTTCCCTAGTAAATCACATCAAGCCTGTGGCAAAGAACCTTGGTGTTTGGTTTGATAGTAATTTAAATTTCGAGCAGCACACCACAAAGCTTGTTCAATCATGTTTTTATCAACTTAGAAATATAGCAAAAATTCGATCTATGTTAACTTTTAAGGACACCGAGACCATTTTACACGCCTTCATCTCATCACGCCTGGATTATTGCAACAGCCTTTTCACCTGTTTAACCCAAAAATCTATTGATCGACTTAGTCCCATACGCACCAGCACGTACCTTGAGATGCTCGGGCAGAGGTCTGTTGTCTGTTCCAGAGTCTCGACTGAAAACTAAAGGGGACAGAGCGTTTGCTGTCAGGGCCCCGAGGCTCTGGAACAGCCTGCCCGAGGAAATCAGGTCGGCTGAGTCAGTGAACTCCTTTAAGTCCCTTCTTAAAACATACTTTTATAGGAGAGCTTTTCCCGATCTTATTTGACTTTATTTTATCCTTTTTATTTTATTCTATTTTACTTATTTTATATTCATCTTAAACATGTATTTTACTCTTTTCAATGTTTTCTTGCTTTTATCTTGTATTGTTTATGAATAATTGTCTTTACACTTGTTAAAGCACTTTGTAACTTGTTTTTGAAAAGTGCTCTACAAATAAACATTATATTATTACATTTGTCCTTATTAAAAGCTATGATCCATTTACTTGTTATAAACATGTATATATGTGGATCATTAGCTTCTAAAAGAGTCCAGATGTCCTCGTTTGGGTCTTTTCTAGATTGGCTGAAATGTGTAAACTGGTCGTATTTGCGGACTGAGGTGAGGAACCAAATGCAGACAATGGCAAGGCGAGAGGAGGATGCAGTTCAAACAAAAGATTTATTCAGCAAAAACAGGCTTACTCATGAGCACAGCAGGCAAAAGGTCCAAACAAAGGCATCTCCGAACAGGCAGAGTAAAATCCAGAACAGGGCAGGGAAAACAATCCAAATGCAAGGAAGAGATCCATGAAACAAAGGAACAGGCAAGAACACTAGACGCAAGGACGTGACAAAGACTGAAGGCAACTGAGGACAATATATACTGTGACGACTTCCCCAGTCTGCCTGCCTGTAGGTCTTCTTTGTTTTGCAGATACTGGGTGTGGCTTGTAGGTAGAGCTGGGAGGGTCCAGTACATCTACCTGCCCATCTGGGTTGGGCTTCCTAGAGGGCATAAAAAGGCTGTCTTTCTAGAAATCACTCTCTCTGCTGGCCTGCTGCTTCAACCCAGCCTTTGTTCCTTTGTTTAATTTGCTGCACCCACCAACATGCGTTACACTTCATCCTCACTCATCCACACACTTCTGACATGACTGATGTTACTCATATCTACCCACGGCATCAACTTAGTTAAGTTGTTTGTTAGTTTGAGTTAAAATAAACCACTTTTGTTCTTATCTGTGTGAGGCCTCCCTTTTTGTTGCCGGCCTTGAGCCAGGCGGTAAGAATACACATACTGGTAAACGAGCAGGGAGGCAAGCACAGCTAGGATACATCAGGTAATCAAACAAAGCTAGACAAGGACACCAGGTACAGAGGGTTACCAAAATTAAACAGAAAGCAAAGTTTCACAGGAACACACAAGGACAGATCTACCAAAGTAAAACACCAAAACATGTCACAAAGTCAGCCAAAATCAGGGCACGGGCAGGAGCAAACAGGAGACAAGACTACTCTAAAACATGGAAATATAAGACAAAGGACTAGGACACAGACCATAATGATAAAACACAGAAGTACACATATCAGGAAAACACTTAGACATGAACTAAAGCACAGGACTAAGAACTAACTAAACAAGACTACACAGAGAAACACAGAACCAAAAACGGACTTTAACAGGAAAGACATGACACAGAAACTACATTCTAACAATATTAGTTCTTTGTCTATGGTCCCTGCAGGCTGAGAGCTTGTTGTATGTCCTGCAGGTTCAGGTGTCCTGGTCCAGGTGTGTTCCAGTGTGCTTTGACTGGACTGGTGTTTGTTGTGGCTCAGGAGGCGGAGCTGCTGTACCGGACTGTCCAATGGGATGATAGCCTCCTCCAATCAGCTGGCAAGACGGCTGCAGGGCTGCTGTTCAGTATCAAATGTCCTGAGAACGCTGTCTGTCAGCTCCACCTGCCACACTGTGAAACAAAGGCCGGTGAGGACATTATTGTGCTTTGTGAGTGGAGAGTTTTGTCAGAGCGACGATGAAACAACATCCTGATGGTTTACCTGTTCTAACAGTCTGAACAGCTGTGCAGCTAAACAGGGGGAGTTTGTCCTGAGGGGGGCGCTAGAATAAAATCAAAAGGGATGCTGCCAGAGGAAATTTCCTGAGGTCCCCAAAATCACCATCAGTTATCATCTGGGGATCATAGTTTTTCCTTTAGTTTTATTTCTTTTTACTTATTTTGCATTTCCATTTATTGTCAGGAACAAGGGCAAAGTTGTGTCGATAAATTGCTCAACCTGGGCAACAGTTGACTAGTCTTCCTGGAAATACAATAGAACAAACATTGTACTGAGGTTGTTATCAGTAAACCAAAGTTTAACACTGTGTTTTCACAGCTCTGCTGCCTGATGGTCTGCTGTCTGTCGTCCACATCACTGATGATGGAATGAGCATCCTCGACCCGCTGGAGATTACAGACACTCATGTGGTTGTCAAAGTCCCTCACCTCTCTGCCTTCGGCCTAGTCTGGGATATCGTTAAGAGGTTGTGGACACCAGTTTGTAGCCAAGTTCTGCTGTTCCTCAGACCACCAAACACAGAAACAGACACGAAAATCCTAAATGTGCTTCTCCTGCCGAACAACATCCCTCTGGACGAGGTAAAGCTTCATCTCACAGCTGTCAGTCCAAAGTTCTCTGATGTGGCTTAAAGGAAAAGTTCAGTTTTTTAAACAACGAGTGTTTGTGTAGCCTAAATAAATGTTTAAACACAGCTGGAATGCATTTGGTTTACTCTCTTTTCAAACAGGGGAATCCAGATTAGTACCTGGGTCATCCCGTCTGTCTGTGTGTCCCCCTCCGATCAGTGACGTCACTACTCAGAGGGAGGCACCTTCCTGCAGATCGGTTATGAAGGGGTGGAGCTCCGGTGCCCCCTTTCCTCCGGTGCACAAGCGTTGCAAAGTGTGTTTTTTACCCACCAAACAGCTTCAGCTTCACCAAAAGGAACGTCAGCATCACGCTGAGTTAAACCTCGTTTTGTAGCTTCTTTCCACTTCCGGATTATAAGTTTAGAAATCCTTCTGTAACCAATGCCATCAGTATGTTTAGCAACAATGAGGTTGCAACGGTCTTGAGAGTGCTCTTTGCATCTGCCCATCATGAGATGTTCCTTGTGTGACACCTTGTAATGACACCTTTTTTATAGGCCATCAGTTGGGCCTGAACCAGCTGATGTTAATTTGCACTGACATGGGACAGGACTGTTTTCTAATTACTGATAGATTTCAGCTGGTGTCTTGGCTGTCCATGCCTTTTTGCAGCTACCTTTCTTCATGTGGTAAATAATTTTTTCCTGTGTCATTTCACATTCTAACAGATAACTTCATTTCTGAACTGATTTGTTTTTATGTATGGATTACCTGGGTTGTTACCAACATCTGGTGAAATCAGTAGCACCTTTAGAAGTATGTTTACTGAGGAAAATGGTAATGTGTTCAATACTTTTACCTGCAGTATGTATGTATATACACACACACACACACACACACACACACACACACACACACACACACACACACACACACACACGCGTACCTATCCAACAGTGCACCGTCAGAGTAAACCACCAAGTGTGGACCTGTGTTTCTAGTCCTTTTGAAGTAAAATAAATATAATACAAAATTTACTTTTACTGCCTTTTAACATAATATTACTGCAAATTTGCTTTTTTTTTGCTTTTTAAAGAAATTGCAGAGATTCTTTCAAAAATGGATCATTTAACTTTAATGTGAGCGATGTGTAAACATTTCACCGTGATCCAAACATTAATCACTTTAACTGAAAATAAATAAAGTTTAAACTTTAATTCAGAAGTAATTTTGCTGCATGCATTGATATCAAGCACTACAGTATTACCAACAAAAAGTACTTGATCTAGATTTCAAATGTAAAAAATATCTTATTACACTAGTGCACTTATTTTAATTTTCTCTTAGGGGAATTCATATTCTTCTGGGTGGGATGGTCATTTTTATGACCTGTGTGGAATGGTGATGTATGCATTTTAAAGAGTTACTTTGTATTTGCTCTTAATAACTGAATCTTAGACTGGTTTTGAATCACACATCCACTACACTCTGTTAAGGCTATTTGGATTTCTTTAGGGCATTCATTTTAAAGTCATTTATGAATATAATGAGGTCAGACAACAGATAATGAGTTATCCTTTTTCTAATAAGGATAATTTGACATTCAAACTATAGCATGTATGACAAACGGAAGCAAAAACAATAATACTTAATAAAATATAATCACAACACACATCTGTTGACACATGATTTGATAATATGCTTTTGTAACAAAACTTAAAGGCTCAGCAATAGTAGATTTCCTAACTAGTATTAAGCTTCAGACTGTAAGATAAAAGGCCATGGTATTTTCATGTTTGCATTAGGCCTACAGAAAAAAAGGTCCACACTTGTATGGCATTTAATGACATGAATCCACTATTGGTTGGTACATAACGACACATGTCCCCTCTTAGATAGTATAGAGCAACAGTCACACTCCAACATCCAGCATCAATAATTATTCCGCATGATTTGTTCTCCATTATAATGAAGGGCTGCCCACAAGTTAGGGGAGTCATAAGTGAAACTTTACCAACTTAAACCTTCAAGAGCCTGAAGTTTGATCCTCCGAGAAGCTGCTGTCCTTTGCTAAGAAATGTGCAACCCACATTACCCATGAGAAAAAGACTATTACCGATGACACATTAATGACAACTTTTACGAGCCCTTTGAAAGGATTCAGCCCCCCAATTTTTCCAGTATATTGACCAATTATGACAATCACAGGATTTCAATCAATTTTACAATGTACATGTATCTTTGTAAAGGTACATGTACATGTAAAGGAATGCATTTTGTTTGTTGTTTTGCATTACAGAAATGTCCACTGTTGGCTGGTACATAATGACACAAGTTCCCTCTTAGATAGCATGGATTGACACTCACACTCCAGCATGAATAAATAAAAAAGAAATTGATAATTTCTAAGAGAAACTAAATATAATCTGTAGTTACTTGGGGTTTGAAGAGACACTAAGTTTACAAGACTAGGCGAGACACAATATTGGGTGCAAGTGTGAAATGTTGAAAATGTTAAGTAGTGCAAGTTCAAAGGCCTAACAATCATCGTTGGCCGCAAGAAACCCTCCCCCACACTGCAGACAATCAGACACAGATTCTCACTGCAGACAATCAGACACACGTTCACACCCCTCACCTGCTCCAGGTCACCTCTCAGAGACAGCACTCACACTTACATTTCTCCAGGGTTTTGTATTCAGCTTAACTCTGCATTGAATGCTAATTCATAACAGTTTCCTACAACCACAAATAGAAAACTGTACAAATAAATGTAGACATGTGTTTAGTAAAAGTGTCCAAACACGCAATTCTAATAAAAATCCATTATTATTTTGCCTTTATTGATGATGGTACAGCCAAAGAGAGAAAATAAATACAGGAGAGAGGAGATGCATGCTAATAAGCCACAGGTTTGATTAGAACTGGGCCACTGCAGTAAGATTTCATTTGTGTATGGTGCACATGCTCCTGAAGCCACACGCTCATAAACTGAAAGTTTCTTGCTCTCTTCTCTCTTAACTTTGACCCTCAATGTACTGTATACTGCACTATAATGGCCACATTTTGGGTTTCAACAATACGCTTAAAAGAAATGTATGCCAGTTTGTATAGCATATTTACAATATTGGTAAGCATGACAGAAGTTCTCACCACTCGGTTAAATTATAATATCCCTGACATAAGTGGCATGTAACACAAAATAAATTAAACACACAATAAACACAGTTAAGGCAAATAAAACAGAAGCCTTTTAACTACATAGCCTAAATACCTATGGTAGAAACACAAAAAGCAAGGACGAATGACCAAATCATCAAAATCTGAGCAAGACAATAAGGCATTATGATGGTTCTGAGACAGGCTGTAGGTAACTCCACCACTACACTTAATGTACGTAATTGAAGTAAGTTTAAATTCTATCAGAAGAGAGTGACCTTGAATTTGAATGACTATGAATGCCTGGCTGACATTCATTGTAAGCCTTACATATTAAATGATTGATTATCATTTCAATTATTTGTCCACAGGAGCCAGACATTCTAAAACTAAGATACCTTAATCACCTAATTTAGTATTTAAATTCCATCTCTGTGACTTTCCCACTGCTTGTAAACCTTTTCAGTGACTTTAAGCATTGTTGATGATGTGTCAGACCAATCAGAGAGACCATCAGTCTTCCTTCTTTTGAGATAGATTTCAATCCAAATACACTATATGGACAAAGGTGCTACCCCTGTCCTAATAAATTTGGTAGGGGCTGTGTTTTCATGGGTTGTTAAGGGAAATCTTGCCTATGGATTTAGAAGTGGATGTCATAAAAGTAATGCGTAGGTGTTGCTGTATTTGTGTCCATACTAGTGTAATAAATTAACTCCATATTATACAAAATCGATTTAAAATTAATTTGGTGATATTTTAAAAGTTATTCAACCCCAATTTTTGGGGGGTGTACTAAATCACACATACGTGTGGTTATTATGCCAATTCTTAGTAGATGTTTTCTGGTGTAAAACACCTTATTTAGCTACTTTTTGTGAGTAGCTTGTAACGTAGGGTACAATTTTCAACAAAAGTGGAGTATTGTACATCCGCTCTTTACACACACACACACACACACACACACACACACACACGGGCCAAAAAGTATTTAGTCAGCCACTGATTGTTCTGAAGTTCTCCTACTTAGAAAGATGAGGTCTGTAATTTTCATCATAGGTACACTTCAACTATGAGAGACAAAATGAGAAAAAAAATAAAAAAATCCAGGAAATCACATTGTAGGATTTTTAAAGAATTTGTCAGTTATGGTGGAAAATAAGTATTTAGTCAATAACAAAAGTTCAACTCAGTTCTTTGTAACAAACTTTGTTGGCAATGATGTTTCCTGTAAGTTTTCAGCAGGTTTGCACACACTGTAGCTGGTATTTTGGCCCATTCCTCCCTGCAGATCTCCTCTAGAGCAGTGATATTTTGGGGCTGTCGCTGGGCAACACGGACTTTCAACTCCCTCCACAAATTTTCTATGGGGTTGAGGTCTGGAGACTGGCTACGCCACTCCAGGACCTTGAAATGCTTTTTACGGAGCCCGAGCGGTGTGTTTGGGATCACCGTCATGCTGGATGACCCGGCCACGTTCCATCTTCAAGGCTCTCACTGATGGAAGGAGGTTTTGGCTTAAAATCTCACCATACATAGCCGCGTTCATTCTTCCCTTAACGTGGATTAGTTTTCCTGTCCCCTTTGCAGAAAAACAGCCCCAAAGCATGATGTTTCCTCCCCCATGCTTCACAGTAGGTCTGGTGTTCTTGGGATGTAACTCTGCATTCTTCTTCCTCCAAAAAAAGTTCTATTTTGGTTTCAACTGACCACATGATATTCTCCCAATCCTCTTCTGGATCATTCATCTGCTCTCTGGCAAACTTCAGACGGGCCTGGACATGTACTGGTTTAAGCAGGAGGGCACGCCTGGCACTGCAGGATTTGAGTCCCTCTCGGCGTAGTGTGTTACTGATGGTAGCCTTTGTTACTTTGGTCCCAGCTCTCTGCAGGTCATTCATCAGGTCCCTCCGTGTAGTTCTGGGATTTTTGCTCACCGTTCTCATGATCATTTTGACCCCACGGGATGAGATCTTGCGTGGAGCCCCAGATCGATGGAGATTATCAATGGTCTTGTAGGTCTTCCATTTTCTTACAATTGCTCCCACAGTTGATTTCTTCACACCAACCTGCTTGCCTATTGTAGATTCACTCTTCCCAGCCTGGTGCAGGTCTACAATTGTCTTCCTGGTGTCCTTCGACAGCACTTTGGTCTTGGCCATGGTTGAGTTTGGAGTCTGACTGTTTGAGGCTGTGGACAGGTGTCTTTTATACAGATAACGAGTTCAAACAGGTGCCATTAATCCAGGTAACGAGTGGAGGACAGAAGATCTTCTTAAAGAAGAGCCTACAGGTCTGTGAGAGCCAGAAATCTTGCTTGTTTGTGGGTGACCAAATACTTATTTTCCACCATAATTTACAAATAAATTCTTTAAAAATCCTACAACGTGATTTCCTGGATTTTTTCCCCCTCATTTTGTCTCTCATAGTTGACGTGTACCTACGATGAAAATTACAGACCTCTCTCAACTTGCACAGTCAGTGGCTGACTAAATACTGTTTGGCCCCACTGACACACATACACACTGGAGAGGGGAGGATAATGAGGCACAGGTGATCACAATCATGTGAAGGTGATCGGTACAAACAATCAAGGAAAAGACAGGAAGTAAAAGTAGCACTAGACACACAACGAAGAACACTAAAAAGCCAAACAGGAAACGGAGTGAATGCAGAGAGAGAACATAGAACAGAGAGGAGACAACAGAATCAGGGAGAAAACACAAGAGGAAAACACAAAGTCCTCTGCTTTACCTGGTCTGTTAAAGATGCCAGATTGTCTGTTGTGGGTCACCAGCAGTTGAGCGGGAGGAATCATGTCGTACTGGATTCCCATGGAACGGAGTTGTTGTCTTGCAGCATCAAACTCTTTACTTTAGTGTTTTGTGTACACCGGTTGCCGGTCCTCAAAGAATCTCACTGGAAGGTTCTTGTTGAGAATCTGTCCGTCAGTCCTGGCAGTTCTTGTCACAGACATTTTATTCCTGTAATTTATCTCATGGTAAGAGATGCTGTCCTCTCCTGAAGATATTCGGAGCTCTGTGTGGTCGACCCGCTTGAAACGCTCATTAACATATTTTCTCATGTTCTCTACTTCAAGTTTGCGACAGCAGCTGTTATCACTTTTCTGCCGTCCTACAACTCTTCCCCATCAGCGGGCTCACAACCTTTTTTTCTCTGCCATGACCTCCTGCGTGCCAGCGTTAGCCTCACTGTCTTCATAGTTAGCATGAGAACTCAGAAGGGAGGTGAGACAACTTCGACTGAAATGGCTCGGTGTAGTTTTCGCCACCCTAACCCACAAATTATTTAAGATCCTAAATAATGAGCATTAGAAAGGTACCGGAGGCTGTTACAGCCTTTTAGTGTAACATTCCCTGTTTTTGTTACTGTCCGTCCACTGCAGCTCAGCAGGGAAACACAAAGAGGGAATTTTACACTGACCCAACTTTGGAAGATCTCTACTTGATGTGTTTAACACAGATTGTTGAAGCCTCTCAAATAAACTTCAGAATATATTTTTGTACAAAACGAGGACTGAGGATTAACGTCTAATATAAATGTTAAAATGTTCTGTTGTCTCTTCAGGTCAGCAAACAACAGCAGCCTTATAAGAACATCAAGACTGCTTCTAAATGCAAACTCATCAAAGCTGAAAGTTACACTCTTCTCTGTCCTCAGGCCAAGGAAATTCAGCCTACGGTAAGTATTTTAAATAAAACTCTTTGCTGACACTATTCATCAATCTGCTGTTAGGTTGACTTTGGATGCTGTGGAAGTTCTGACACTTTGGTTTTCAGGAAGAAGATTTTGACCTGGACTTTGGACCAAATTACCATCCAACATTTGAGATCTTCCTGCCGACAAACAAACAAGAAGTAACTTTAACGCTCCAAGACCAAAGAAATATGGAAGTCTGGAAGCGTAAAGTTGTGGTGACAGGTAAAGTCTTCAAGCATCTGCAGCATCGCTCCACCTGATAGGCCTTTATTCTTACTCTGCCTCAGATCGCTCTTCAGTCTGCATTCATCCTGCAGCAACTTTAAACCAGTTTTGAAGAATCTTATTGGTCATGAAGCTCGAGGGCCAGTTTGTATAAAACACAATGTATGAAGCGACAGTGTGTTGGAGTCTCTGGTAGAGAGTCATCAGCTGAATCTGCAGCTTCTCGCCTTTACTGACCTTTATAGTGACTTTCAGCTTCCTGTTCTGGTTCCCTCTCAGCGCTCACAGAGCATCATTTCAGAGAAGAAGCTCTAAAAAGACACTGTAAACTTCCTGTGTGAAACAGTTTGTGTGCTCTGGTATACCTCGGTCCAGACCTCTGAATCTATCGAACATACACTGAGTATTTGGTGTTGCACTCGTTTCAGGCTAAAACATTAAAGACTTCTCATGTTGTGTTTTGCGATTGCGATGATCTAATTGTTCACTAAGTCACAAAACTGTTAAAAAGAGTGCAAAGTTCTTCATACATCTAGCCTCTTTATTTTGCTTAATGTATTTAAAATTTACAAAATTTTCTTGCGGGGGGCCACGCCACTTTCACAAAATCCTGTAGGTATGAAGTGGAGGAAAGCAGTATGCTTCATAATCCTCCTAAAATATATAAAAAAGTCTACTCTCTATATATATGTGTGTGTGTGAGACAGTATATTTATATTTTATGTTCAGTATGTGTAAGAATCAAACACGTAAAGCTTGAGATCAAGTCTGATGTAGTGGGACAACGGTGTGGATTTGTGCATTTTATATTAAATAAATTTGGAGCTACTCCAAATTCCTCTTTTCCTCTCCCAGAGAGGAGCAGGGGAGTTAAAGATCAGACTGCTACAGAGACCCCAACAGAAAGGGGGTGGAAAAGTTGCTTTCTCTAAGTGCTATCCCTGAGCAGCCTGATCATAAAACTGGCACCTTTTTGATTCCGAAGCTGATAACGTGGTGACTGACTGTTAAACTGACAAAAGGGAAATTAACCAGAGATTACAAACAGCCTTTCGGAAAGGCAGGAAATACTAAACTGCCCCCCCCACACACACAACTGACCTTGCTCTGTGTTTCATTACCCCATCAAAGGGATACCCCCTTTTACGCCTAAGTGTGACATAAACCACGGACCGTCCTGAACTTTAAATAAACAAAGACTGCAGTCTCCAAAGGCTCAAGTTTAATTAAATCTTTTAGTTACTTGATTACGTTTGCCTCTATTTGAGTAGTTATGTTACCATGTTGTTGCCATCTGTTGTTGATATTAGTGCTGAAAGGAATCTAAATAAGTTACTTTTGCAGTGTTTCTATTTTCAGCAAGATTAAGGACACTCCTTCATCTTATGCGTAACCAATGCTTGTTCACAATACTTTCTCACACAATTCCTTTAGAAATGATGATAAAGAAATGTCATACTATACTCTATTAATTATCCAGCTTGAATTTCAGGCTGAATTCCCCAGTTCCTAAGGAAATATTGTTTTGGATTAATCTAAGCTTTCTTCATGTAACCTGAGCTCCCCCAAGTGGACGAAATAAGTACTACATACCATCGTCGGAAATGCTGTTAATGTATAAATGTCACCCACTTATCCTGACCAATAATGTGACTATTGTTTCCTGTTACCAAATGCTTAACTTAGAATGGTACAACCGTTTGACCATTGAGGTTTGATTGTGGAAAATATTTGATTATAATACGCGCAAATAGATTTCTTTTCTTTTAGACATTAAAGTTTAGAAAGGCAGTCCCTCGGGAAACCTGAAACGCCCTCTGGGGAACCACGCCCCAGACAACAAAAGCGCGACACACGACGTTGTTCGCTCTCTGCTCTGCTTTTCCCCTCGTGCCCTGGTCTCCCACTCTGCTCTCTGGACGCTTCGGCACGTGTCCGGCGTGCCTCTCCAGGCAACGCCCTAAGAGTTCGACCAGCGCAACAGGCCTTTGTTCGCTTGAAGCTACACACGCAAAGTGCCGCGACATCGATCTGCCCCTCAGTTTGTTTTATTTTCTTTCTTTCTTTTGTTTTGTTAAAGTTATCAGTCCGTTAAGTTACACTGGACAAATTCAGGAACGACCAAGTTAAGCTTGTTCGTCGAGCCAACTTCACCGAGGTCAGACCAAGCCACGTGGTCTCGCCAGCGGCAACGAAAGGAAACCTGAAAACAGCCGAATTGCCAGACGGAGGACGGCCAACCCCTGAAGTTTTCGTCAGACACGGAGAACCCCGGAGAATCCCTAGCAAAAAGCCAGGATCGGTCAGCTAGCGTGCAACAGGCTGTTTCCCAGCAACCCGGCAGAAGAAACATAAGCAGTAAGACCTAACAAACATTCTGTGGTCAGATGTCCCGTAATGTTAATATTCTTTTTAACTCCTAAACTCATAGCTTACTTTCATTAGTTCTCCTCTGCCGTATGAGTCAAATGCTTCCCACAATTGAACCTCCATTTCTCATTGTTTATTTTCCCTGTATTTAACCACCCTTTTATATTGCTTTAGTTAGTTAATAAATTCACGGTAATCAAGAACTGTGTGTGTTGACAATCTCCACGTCCCTGCCAAGAGAATTGACCCTTTAGAAATGAGACTGACTGATTTAAGATAATTTAGCGATTATTAACTAACTGATCACTAGTAATAATTGTATAATTATTAAAAGCTACATAGAGGTCCGGAGACTCTAGGATAAAAACAACTCCGGTGGTGCCCCGAAACGAGAGCTTTTATGGATTTTTGATATTTTCTGAGCTGGGAGCTTTCATAACTGGGTATTAATTCTCATAAATTTATTAAAATTCATAGCTAAGTTTTAGCCATGCTACACTGACCACTTTACTCTTGACTCTAATTTTTAAAATTAGAGTAAAAAAAAGAGTACCGAGGTCTAAAGGGAGGTTGTGACTTTGGAATGTGACAGTGTGAAGAGAGAAACATCTAAGCTGTAAAGTTTCTGGATCTCAGCTGCAGTTCCTTCCAGAGGAGAGTGATCAGTATTACAGGAACAGGGACATGGAAATGTTGTTTCTGAGCTTTGTGCATGTTTGAAAGCTGTGACCATGACAGAAGACAAGTTCTCTGCCATCGAATCAGGTCACTGCAGACATTTAACCAGCCAAACAGAGTAAAACTGAAACTGTTCGTGGTTTGGGTGAACTGACACTTTAAACACCCTAACAGTTCATTCAGTCCACCTAATTTCTAAACGTCTTTTCAGACAGAAAGCAGCTGCATGTTTGTTTTTATTGTGTACCAGCTGTAAGCTAGTTAGCAACAGATGCCACAACTAAGATTGTGTTTGTGTTGAGTTCAGCCTCTGAATGATCTCTGAACTCTGCAGAAACTCCACTTCTGTCTCTTATTTCCCTCCAGTGTTTTTCCTGTTTCCTCTCTGTATGTTTCATGAGCTTCAGGATCAGCCTGAGTTTGTATGCATCAGGCTGCACTTTGTGTCTAACATTCATTTGATTTGTCTAAACTGCTTTGCTTTCTGTGCGAACACACAGTCACAGGTCTGTTTTACTGAACTCTTTGTTCTGCTTAGATCCGGCTCTGCCTGAAGAGAATCCAGCGAGGCCTCAGAGTGGCTCCCCACGGAGCAGGTTGGCATCAGTTCGGTCCCAGTTCGTAGATGCAGTGTCTGAACCTGTTCTGAACCAGCTGCTGGATCGGCTTTTGCAACGGGGCATAATAAATCAAGAAGAAATGGATTCAACCAGAACCAGAACCAGGGCTGACGGGGCTCGAGCGGTGATTGACATGGTGCGAAACAAAGGACCAGAAGCCAGTTCAGCTCTGATTGAGGACTTCAGGATGTTGGATCCACACTGTTCCAGAAATCTGAATCTGAGCTGAAGCAGAACTGAGACTCTGCAAATGAAACAAGAAGACATGGACGTCAGTTAACTGTGTAAAAATACACATGTTAAAGGATTTATCAATTAACAAAATACAAATTGGGTGAAAAGAAAATCTATACCAAATCTATATTTGGTGTGATCAAACTTTGATGTGCTGTCCAAGCTGTTTTGAAGAAGCTCAAAGAAACAGGCAGCTGAGGACTGTAGATGCAGTGCTCGTCTAAAGACTCTTAACTGCAGCAGATGAAAGACACATCATGCTTACTTCCTTTCACAGTATTTGAAATAATTTAGCTGTAGCAGAAGGCAGTTTGTTTTATTGTGTTAATTCTTTGTGTCTTTTGTTCTAATGGTTTTGTAGTGTATCTCTCACTGTTGGGTGGTTTTAGGGCTTCACTGTTTCTCTTTGGAATATAAACTCTGTAAAGGTGGAGAGACCTCGGTCAGTTAGACAATTCAACTGAATGTCTTAAATGTAGAATTTGTAACTCATTTTAAGTTAAAGTAATGAAAATGTCTTTGCTGGACACGCTGGACTTTTTCAGTCTATAAATGAGCTTAGTTTCCTTTTTATTAGCTTCATCATTTATCCTGTCAACATTGATCCCTCTTTAGCAACAGCTTGTCCTCAGAACATCACTGAGCATCAGTGTTCCTCAGAGATATTCAGGTAGATTCCTCATTGGCTGCTGCTGTTCAGTACAGTACAGTTCGAGGAAGAGGTGAGCTTGTGTGGTGGGTTTTAAAGTTTGTTTTATATATTTTTATTATATTTGTATTTAGTGTTCTATGTTCAGAGTCCCTGCAGGCTTTTCTGTCTTTGGAACATGATCAATAAATGAGCCTTAAATCACAGAGTAATCCCTTTATGCAGTGTGACGGACCACCGTCACTACGGTTGAGTATGCGCTTTGACTTCCATACCAACGAGCCTGGCTCTTTGGCGTTGTGGTCAAGTTGCATGTTTGGTACCCCGGGTTCGAATCTGGGTGGGGTGACTGCTCTTGCCTTTGGGATGTGGGATGGCTTGCTGTGAAATTGTCAGAGGCGTACCCAGTGTGTGATGCGTATGAGGGACCCCCAGGGTTGGTGGACCCCTGTGTGTGAGGGATGGGTGAGCACTAGTGGGTGGGGCACCCTGAGATGGGAGAAGTACAATTGTATGCGTGAAGCACAATGGGGCATCTTCCGAAGGGACTACGGTTGAGATCCTCTTCAATCTTCAGCTGCTCTTTGTTCAGTGTTGGACTCTGGTAGTAAGTGCTGCTTCAACGACGCCAAGAAACCTCAAACTGCCCTGAAGGTTTTGAAGAACTTCGTTGTTTATATCTGTTCACATATGTCTGCAAACGAGCCTCGTAGTGAGACAAAGGGGGTCCGTGTAGACCGCCATGGTCCCTCTGGGGACTTAATATGAGAGACGCCTCACTTGTATGAAAACCTCTTCCTGTTAACATCAGCACACATTTTACTTTCTCCAGTGATTGTTGCCAGAGATACGCAGCATCGATAATGACAGATCCATCTGTGTTCTTTAGGAGAGCTTCTTGGATTTCAGTTCTCTGTTCAGTGTTGGGTTCCGCTAAAAGATCGGTGAGCGTCGCTTCGACGACACCAAGAATCTCCTCAGGTTCTGGATGAAGATCTAGAGCGGTGTCTAAAACTGCCGTTAGTGTTTTTAAGACCTTCTTTGTTCAGATCTTTTCACGTCTGTCTGTAAAACTATCTGGTAGTAAAACAAAGGGGCTCCATATAGACGACTCTTCCGTCTCTGGCTCCATGTTTAATGTGACAGGTGAGATTTTCAATCCTCAAACATGTGGCTGCTTTCTAAATGTTGCCAGCTTGTGGCGGTGGAGGCTGTGACAGATGCTCTGTAGGTTCATCGGTTTCCTCCATCGTCTCATGAGCTTTGTCCTCTTGTTCATCAGGGCTGATTCCCGCATCCTCCTCTTCTGCTTCTTGTGTCGGGAATGTGAGCTTTAGTTTGTTGCTGTCAGACATCCGGCTGTCAGACATCCGGCCTGTCTACTACAGATCAGATCCTGTCACTTCTCCAGGGTTTAAACGCCGTCCAGAACCACCAGTTACATCATCACAGTGAAGATTTGATTGCCCACCTCCACCTGTGATGTTCATCAGGTCTGAAGGAGCTTTGAGTCCTCTATGGGTGAGCAGCTGGTCCAACATGCAGCTGCTGGGCTTTAACTGGAAGACACATCAGCCCAGTTTGAGCTTCCCTTCATTGGCTTCCCACTGCCTCCAGAATCCAGCTCAGGTTCTATTAATCAATCACTTCCGAGGCTTTAAATGGATCAGCTCCAAGTTCTCTCTGTTCAGTCAAAAAAAGGCTTTATAGAAAAACAGATTTCTATAATTTGGTATCCGAGCCGCCGCTCAGGTGTTGGACCTGCATTAGTAGTGAAAAGGTCAGAGCCAGCCAGCGCTACACGAAGCCATCGGACAGGTTGCTGCTGGGAGTGAGTCCTACCTCCTGGATGATGTGGGCTCCTCTGGGATGTTTCAGGTCCACAGAAATCCTCTGAAATCAGCAGAGGCTCGTTATTAACACTGTGAGAACAACATGAGGCTGAACCTGAGTTTACTGACAGGATGCTAAAGAAGGAATCACAGCTTTTACATTCATCTCCTTCCTTCTTGGTTTCACTTCATTTCTCTGAAGATGAAGCTGCAGAGACTCCAAACACTCGTCAGCTTTATGTTGTTGTCACATTCATGTTGTTGCAGTGACGTGTTGTACAGTAAAGGTTTTAAATACATTTTACATTCACGGGCCTTTATTCAAGAGCTGCTGGGAAACTTCATCCGGAGTCTGGACACACGTTACAGAGTCTCTCTAAAAACACAACCTAAGATTCAAAGCACAAAGTGACTGAGATCATTTCTAAGCAGGCAGAATATTAATGTGAGTAAAAAGCAGCATCCAGGACTCCATTATACTACACTGGCAGGTATTTAAAAGCTGCAGCACAGAGGCTCAGAATACAAGAGCCACACAGAATGACATGAATATTAATGTTGATAGAAATCTGGAGTCAATAATAACATGCTGCTGCTTTATTAGACACTAAGTGAAACATGCAGAATCTAAAATACATACATCACTCTGACATTACTTTCATATATGTAGAGGAGCAGCAGAGCTGGACAAAAATACTGTATTAACATTAGTATTATCAGCTAAATGTACTTAAAGTGTCAAAGTAAAAGTACTCATTATGCAGAACGCCTTCTTTCACAGAGTTATATTATTCTAGAATATTATATTACTCTGTTTGTGTCACTAACAAATACATGTAAGAGTATTTTAATGCTGCCGTTTCAGATACTTTGTGTACTACGAGGTACATTAGTAGTAAAGTACTGCATCGTATTATAAAAGCACATCATGTGTGTTTTTATGTCAAAGTAAGTGTAAGTGTCAAATAAATGTAGCGCAGTGAAGAGTTACGTGTACTTGTACTTGTACTGCAGTACATTTCCCTCTGAAGTGAAGTACAAGTACGTCAACAGTGTACTTGAGCGCAGTACTTGAGTAAATGTGCTGCATCAGTGCGAACAGCAGGATGATCCAAACATAACAACAGAGAGTGGAGCAGTGCAGCTTCAGGAAGCGCTGACATCATTATTAATATTAATATTGTTGAGAATCAATTCTGATGTTTGAGTAGCAGCTAAACAAGGTAACTGCTGAGCAACACAAAGGGAAGAACCAGTAACGTTTACCAGTATGACCAGTGGAGAACAACACATCTACATATCCTGACACTGGGACTCTCAATGGCTCGGGTAAGTGGGGCCAAACCTGGTCCAATCAGTACTGGCTTAGATAGTATTGATCAGGTTCAATGCCACTTTACTGAGTGAAGCAGCTAAAGATGGTGAAACTCTTTGAGCCTGTTGCTGTTTGCTCACAATAATTCACCATTAACAGCTTCTTCTGAACCTCCGACAGCTTTGTTGCCTCACTGTGTCTTATCAATGAGTGTGATTGGAAGTTATTGACTGAAAGGATTCCTGGGAAATAACTGGCTGTTAATGTTTCTCACACACAATCATTGATCCCTTATTTCATCTTTATTTAGAGAGATTTGTGGAGAAACCGGCCGATAAACATGATGCTGATTATGAGCTGGGATTATTTGGCCTGTTCACATTTTAATCAGCAGTTAGAAAGCTCTTTATATACATTGATATATTGATATATTGATATATTGCTAAATGATTGTAAGAGGAAGAAGCCTGAAACTTTCCAGTGAGCAGCTAGCTTAACAAACCTGAATTAGACTTTGACCAACAAAGCTAATTAAAGTTTCTGGAGCCAGTTAATGTGAGAAATGTGAGTCCTGTCAGCGCAGTGACACATTTAACAAAGTTTAAAACGTGTCCGCTCACTTTTCACACTTCTTTTATCAGGTGAGGAACAACACTTTCAAAGTAAAGGTCCGGATGAAGGAAAGAAGTCTGGACTTTCACAACTCTTCTGATAACTTTTGCTCCAAGTCTCATTTTTCTTCTTTGTCCTCATCAAAACAAAGATGGCAGCTGGGCAGCTCCTTACTCAATGTGGAAGACATGAACCAAGATCAGAAAGTTAGATTTCTCTCTTAATGTTCCTGTCGGCTCTTTTCTTTCCACACAACAACATGTTTACTGTTTATTGTTTATTTGTTTCATGTAAAATAAACAAAGAGACTCTGATGCTGTCGTCTTTGTCTTATAATGAAGATGTTTAGAAGCCAAATAATAAAACATAATCAGATCTTTAACTTAAATCAAAGATCTGAATACAACAATGTAAAAAGAATTCATTTCAAATTCAAATCTTAATTAAAGAACAGAAGTATCAGCAGTAAAATGTAGCTGAAGGATCCAAAGGAAAAGTCGGCCTCCTCATTCTGCTGCAGAATGAAACCTGTCAGTGTTACATTATTATTTATTGGCTGTTATTGTCACAGCTAACATCTGATTTGTTGGATGTTAGCTTTTTTTGCTTTGAGTGAACCGCTCTTACTAAAAGGGTTAGTTAGCTGCTAGCTGTTAGCTGCTAGCTGTTAGCGCAGACACATACACACAGATACTTGTTTCTCTACCCCTGTGGGGACATCTTATTCACATACCCTGAACCATCACATCTACCTGAAACTAATCACAATCTGAACCCTAAAACCAAGTCTTAACCTTAAATTTTTGTCCCCATGGTAACATTCAGATTCAAGTCCCCACCAGGATATAAAAACATGAATTACACACACACACACACACACACACACACAGAAACTCACCTGGTTTCCAGTAAATGCAGAGGGGAGGAGCTACACTGATCAGGTGAGAACAGGGAGGAAGCTGAAGCAGAAAGAGTTCAGTTAGAGTCCCAGAACTGAAGGCTGAGGCAGGGTGAGTGTTAGTCCAACATTTTATTATGTTACTGTCAAAGTCTCTGAGGCAGTTTTCTCCCTGTGGACTGGAGAGGAAAGAAACCTTAGAGGAACTCAGCACTGTGAGTGTTTTTACATCTTGTTGGGGACTTTATCCTGAGACAATGAGGACTCGTGTCCATGTGGACAGAGAGAGTTTTTGAAGGTTAAGACTTGTTTTAGCGTTCAGATTACAGTCAGTTTAATGTCAGAGTAAGGGATTAGGTAATGTATTGTCTCAAAGAGATGTCCAAAGGTGTGTGTGTTGCTCTTGTGACTCTTGATCAAACTTGTTTCCTGGTTCTTGTGTTCTGAGCTCAGTTCTACTGTTTCACCTCTCAGACTGACTGAAGTCCAGAAGATGAGTGTTTGGTGGTTTTGTTTTACAGGATTTAATATATTCTGTTGTTACATCAG